AGCCTGTGCTTGAACCTAAAACTAACCGCAGCAACGGCTATGCACGGGTATTCTATCCAAAAGGACAAAAGGTATGCTTTGCCCGTTAACTGCAGTAGTATTGCGGCATCTGCGAAAGAACTCCACAATAGCTTACCTCTGAAGATGTAGGGCCTCTCGTTTGACTGCGCAAGATCTTTGTTGACAGAGATACGAACAGATGACTCACAAAGTATGACCCAACAGGATCTCTTTAGCATACCTACAGTACGCTAATGTTGCATGTTCTGAAAATTCGTGAAGCCCATTAGCGCAGTGTTACGCAGCCAAGAAGAGCAAAACCACTTATAGCTCACGCCTTTCCTGGCGTCAAATTTTCTTTAATGCATAAAAACGATCAAGTTTACAGTTTTGGCACAAGGGGAAGCTTTTTGAGGGTCCCGCCCGATGGATTTAAAGCTTATTCTCTAAATCCTCAGGCCTATCCCTGTGGACTGTGCGCACGGATAGATGTTTATGTTGTCTCCATTACCTTAAGGACCACCCGTCTCGCTATTCTTATTCCAGGCTCAGAAGAAGCACCAATAGTAACTAAATGGTGTTTTTAAGTGGAGAATTTGCATAGTCACTCTTTGCCGCACATAAATCTCACGGATACGTGCTCGATGAAATCGTTCGGCAATGGTTACCATTCTTTAACTGACCTAATAGCACAGGGAATACAATCAGCGACCGGTCTCATGAAATGCCGACCAAAATCCATAAATGCGTTATCGATTAAGAAGGATTACTTAGGCGAGGTTATAATATTGATTATTATGCGGTATTATCCCATGATATAGAGGGCTTGCCAGGATTTTGGCTTTCAACTGTACTTCTCTCCGACCTGTAAGGACGACATTCAGTAGAGAATGACTACTTAGGCAGCATGAATTCTTCGCATCGATTTTTAACACTCATAAATTCAAATATATTTTGTAGGGAAAGTGCACAAAAGTACTCTCCCGTATATTCGTTTGGTAGCGGATAACGTCGTCTTCACATTTTAAAGTCGAAGAAAGGGTGTAGTTAAGTTTTCAAAGGTTTCCAATCACCGAATAATTTTGAAGCAGGTCAGCCGTTACACTAGCGTTTAGCGATTTCAGTATGCAAGGTGTATGCTTTTATTACGCGTTCGGGATGAGCAAGTTAGCACGAATCTGCGAATCTACATTTGACCGGGTTCGGTCGCAAATGCCGGAAGTCACGAGACTGGCTCTTCCAAATCAATGTTATGAGGGGGAAGACGATCAACCTCCTTTGTTTTGGGTTTCCAAACTGGGGTCTCCGCAGACTTGCACGGCGTCAAACCAACGACGAGTGCCGATGGGAACAGGCGAGACGAGAATTACCCTTGAGCAGAAGTACGAAACCAGTTAGCGTTGATAATCACAGATGTTTCCTAATCAGCCATTTAAGGTTCGAGGTTGGATCAAGTCAAAGGATATACTTTACGTGCTTCATGGAAGACCGTACATAATAACGAATTATTGGATATAAAAAACTGCAAAAACAAATTATTTATCCACTTGTCGAAAAATCTAAAATTAGTTGTTCGGGCGGAACTATCCAATCATGGAGTCAAATAATCTTCAAAGATCTTGCAAAATTAATGACGTAAGTATTTCACATTACCTTTAATATATTCGACGTACAAAATTCACTTACCTCTGCAGAATACATTTCTTATTTGTACTTCTATTGTTTTGGCAAGATTTGTTAGCCTTCCTCGATGCACCTCGTCGGAACAGGACGCAGTATGCCGTTCTAACCGGTCGATGTCATGCCAACAGTGGTTCTCCATTACGCCTGATAGCCCTAGGTTCTAGCGCGCCATAAGACCATCTATAGTGCAGAAACATTCGCCCCTTCTGATAAAGTCCGCGCATGTAACGGGCAAGTCTACAGCTCCGTATACATCCAGAACTAGGAGAATCCAAAGATCTTTCTTTCAATTGCGCCATAATAAAAGTTGCTTTCAAATTTGTACTGTAGTCCTACTTGTCAATCTGATCAAGGCGGAAGATAGAGTACGCACGTCCTTTGTGAAATAGACATGATGGTTTGAATCAACACAGGGGCTGTAGGACTAGTACGTACATAGGAACTTTTCGTGCAAGTCAAGTTCACTTTGTAGCAGACGGAGAAGTAATGTCATTCGATGACTGTTTGCAAATTTCAATCTCACTCGTTATGTCTGTGGCATAAGTCCAAGATTGCATGTACAGAGTAGGGGTGATTTACATTCTTCAATTTCTCATCCGTGAAATGTCTTGATTTTTCTGCTAATAAAAGAAAACCAGGTTTTTAAGTCAAACATCTGACCTGATTGACAGAAGTTGAATACACCAGCCTTTTTATAATACGCACGGTATCATTTCAAAAAAATTTAGGTGTACAGCAAAATTTCGAAAATTATAATCGTTTTTTCATCACAACAGTTAGCATTTCTCTCGATGAAAAGGACATAAACTTGAGCAGTCAGTAAGAAGGTGGGGGAAACATAAATGCTCAAATTACAAGATTAAAAACACCGAATGGCTTATCATATTCCGAGCATGCACAATCGCCAAATCCCCGACTCTATTTTCACCGATACTGCACTAAAGCATGACGGATTTGCGAGGGATCATCCAGCGTCCTTCAAGTGCTTTCTGCCATATACTCTAGTTTTCACTAGTAGACCTACTGATTTCCTCGAAAATCAATCATACGCCCAGGCAAATCTGTCGAAACAAACTTATCGGGCGCGGTTCGAAAGATGCTGTGAATAGTTGAGCTAAAATTCACCAAGTTCAGCAGTCAGCAATATGTAAATATTAACGGATTCTCTATGCCGTCCTCACAAAGTACTTGTTGCAAGCCCAGACACGTGTTTTGCCGGTCATGCATTGATGGATAACGCATAGGCAACTTGACCGGCTCATCAATAAATCCGAAACAGGTGGTTGAGTGCTTTCTGTTACCTTCTCCATGTTCACCGATAAAATGTGTGTGTACAATGCGAAAGTAGAGGCAGGTGTGGTGGGTGTTGGTCGGAGCATTGAGCAATGGCCCATAGGGAAGTTAGGACGGGTGGGGCTTGTGTGCATTTGACTTTGAACTTGTTGGTTCCGGTTTATACCAGCTTACCGCTGAAACACTTTAAGGCGGTGGAACATAGCAGTTTAAAAAACAGGTCTTCTAAGTCCGCTTGTTTGTCTGAACTTTAAAAAGCAAGCATGAGAACATCTCTAATATCGTTTAATATCAGAAGAATTTAGTGTAACATGAGCATATCGTCCACGATAGCTCAGGTTTCTAAATACAGTCACTCAAAATAATTCATATTTACTTGCCAAATAAAGCATTAAAATCCTGTTCATGAGACAACAATACAAATTAGACAATGCAACTGACAGAGCCTAATGTAATAATATACAAACCAGAGTGAATAACCGAGACTGGACCGCAAGAAGGCCACTACTTCTTTGCAGACAGGACTTTCTAAATATAGTAACCTGTACTGGGTAACCATTTAGTAGAAGGAAAAACAAATGGCAAAGCCTCACTACAGTACAGTGATATTGGGTTTTTCAGTCTTTTTTAAACAACGTATAAGGGGATAGATTTTCAATGGCTTCTCCTTGGCCTTCGTAAAATAAAAAATTGTCGGATATGTTGGGATCTTCGTCATCAGAGAAGATTATGTCTTTCCCATTTCATTTAAAATAAAAGACCCAGGGCAAATCACTTCATCATCTATCGGTAAGGTCAAAATTTGTTTCTCGTGCACACACCGACAGTTTATAGAAAGGGGCACTGACAGTTCGTGCTGTCGTGCCCGACGACGTCCACCGTGTGCTCCACAGCAAGGTTAGGCAGGCACGGTGACTTGCGCGTGAATTGTTTGTAGTGATAGTAGGCTTGCGCAGCGTCCACCTCACTCTCTCCTCCCCACCCATAACTGTTGTCAAGACATAGTTGAGAAGATGGAAATGAGGGAGGGCGCAGATGGCTGGCACGGCCGGAGCCGCATCTACATAGTCGTACCACCATACCCCCTGATTCACAATAAACACTTGACCATAATTCCGACCAACAGCAACAGCACCACGGCAGGTCACAAGGACGAGGACGACTGGGCATCCATGCTCACGACCCTCATGCTCAGCACGGACGCAAGCGCATCTGCCAGCAGGAAACCAGGTGTCAGGGGACTGCCAGAGCATACTAGGCTGCGAGGACCGTGGTTTGCTGATCCGACGTAGCGGATGCTATGGTTTGCTTGTCCTGGCATTGTAGATGCTTACATAATTTGGGAAAGGAGCGCTAGAGTTGGTCACAAAAATAGGCATGCTAGTTATTTAGACTCCTCCTAGGTGCCAGACCAAGGAAACGTGGAAATTTGGAAACGTATGGATACTCAGAAAGGTACCCTTTCTCCAGTATAAAATTTGAAGAGGACGTAATTTTCTACCAAATGAGTGAAGGGGAGAATGTCTTTGTCGAAGTTTTCCATAAAATATATGTGAATTTAAGTAGATGTCAGTGGAATAAATTATACTCCTTGAGTAGTCTTTTTTCAAGAATATAAGTACTAAGGCGGTCGATGAGAATCTCATTCGAAAGCCGGCATCCTGGGGTGACTGGACTATATAAACAAAATACAACGTGAGAAGCGTTGCATAAGCGTATGCTGCCAAGAGAAGCGAAGCAATGTATTTGGGCGCGATGCGCTCCGATCGGCCCGGCGATGGGAAACCTTCGCCCTTCGGGAGGCCTCTACGTATTCGCAGATCCGGTTTCTGCACAGGTGTCTCGACAATAATTTGTTACGGAAATGTGTTTCATACAAGCCACCGGTTAACACGGATTTGGCGAGACGAGCAGTATTTCAGCACGGCAGAAGGATGATCCGAGTGTTCCTCCAAGATTGCCACGCGAGACTCCGTAAGTACCGTCAAAGGATTGATCAAGAAAAGACCAGATGCTGTGAGTTCATGGGTGAAATCGGTACGAATCTGCTCCGGCGGAGGATAGCTGAACAAGCCCGCGAACAGAGCACGATACGCGACGCAGCACTGGAGAACAAATTTCGAAAGCTGCCCAATTCAACGTCGCCCAGAAACGACAAACTGGTGCACAATCTGTCATCAAAGGAGCTGACGAAGGATCAGGTGCAGGTTTTACGGCACGAAGCTTCATTTAACACGGCTGACGCCAAACCTGTTAACATGATTGCAGCAGTGGAATCAATCCTTTGTCAGACGGAGGCAACGGAGGAGACTAAGAACCTAATCCGACACCAATTGTCGTCTCTCCTGATGGCCCACAGGCCGCGGGAAGTGCTTTCCAAGGTCGAACGTGATGCGCTTAGAGAATTCAAGGCCGGCAAAGACCTGGTCATCGTGCCAGCGGACAAAGGACGCGCCACAGTTGTACTGGACAGGACAGACTACCTTCAAAAAGCCAAAGGTTTACTGGAGGACCGACAGTTCTATGTCCCATGTGCAACGAACCCTTTAATGGCGCTGACACGCGAAATTAATGCTACGTTGTTGGCCTTTTAGAACTCAGGTGCAATAACACCGACCGACAGACGCATGGCGAGACCACAAGATACGGCTTTGGCCCGATTCTATGGCCTCCCTAAGGTGCACAAAGACGGCGCTCCTCTCCGACCCATCGTGTCGCTCAAAGGGACTCCAACGTACGGACTGGCTAAGTGGCTGTTCCGGCGTCTCAAGTTCCTGACCGCTGAGTCAGACACCACGGTCTCTTCGTCAGCACAATTCCTGGAGAAACTCAAAGGGGTAAGCATCCACCCAAATGAGGTCATGGTATCTTTTGATGTTACATCCCCCTTTTTACTTCTATTCCCCAGGACCTGGCGATCGAGACAATTGAACTGCTACTACAAAGCAAATACGATGAAACGGAGAACCGTCTTGGACACGCCCAAATCCTTCAGCTCCTGAAGCTCTGTCTCAGGACGTACTTCACGTTCGACGGGACAATCTACGAACAGGTGAAGGGCACACCAATGGGTTCGCCGATTTCGGGATTCATCGCCGAGGCTGTCCTGCAACGGTTAGAGTCGCTGGTCTTCCAACACCACAAACCGACGTTCTGGGCCCGGTATGTGGATGATACCTTCGTCGTTATCGCTCGGGATCAACTGCTGACGTTCAAGGAACGTCTGAATGCGGTCTTCCCGACATACAATTTACGATGGACGAGGAAGAGAACAACCAGCTGGCCTTCCTGGATGTCCTCGTATGCCGCATGGATTGTGGTGGACTAAAGACCAAAGTGTTCAGGAAAGCGACAAATACGATGCAAGTACTGAACTTCAACAGCAACCACCCAATCAGTCACAAACGCAGTTGTGTAAGGACGCTCTATCGGCGTGTCGAAACGCACTGCAGTGAGCCGGAAGACAAGATTGCTGAACTACAATACCTCCGACGGTCATTCAAAGCCAATGGCTACCCGGGCAACTTTGTCAACCGGTGCATACGCAAAATGGACGAAAGGCCTAATCGCAGGGACACCAAAGTTTGGCGAGCGCTTCCATATGTCAAGAACGTTTCGGAAGCTGTTGGCCGCCCTCTCGCACCGCTGGGGGTTGGAGTTGCACACAGGCCAGAGGCAACCATCAGGCGTCAATTGATGAAACCAAAAGACCCACTGCCACGGCAAGAAACGTCTGGAGTCGTTTATCGGATCTGGTGCAGTTGCGGACAAAGCAACTACGTCGGAGAAACCGGAAGACAGCTCCGAACGCGAATGGCCGAACACGCTGCAGCAGTGCGGAGAAATGACGCCAGCTCTCAAGTTGCGGCTCATTCGACGGGTTCCGGTCACACATTCAAATTTGACGAGGCAGAAATTCTCGCAAGGGGTGACAACCGCGTGAGCCGGGAGCTGCTTGAGTCATGGTTCACTGGCCCCCAGTCTATTAACAAGTGCAATGATCTTCCCATTCAATACAGCGTGCTGAGACTTCGTCTAGGCGGAGAAATTGGCCACGCGGGGAGCGCCCTGATGAACACTCTTCCCAACACCCGGGTCAGCGCGTCAGATGGTCGAGCAATCATCACACCAACATCCAACGCACGTGATGAAATTGCAGCAATTAACGACGCGAATATCGAGCATCACGCCACGTGCAACGATCCCTGATGAAGGGGAGGGAGCCGTGAACATTCGTAGGTATGCGGTGGCATGGCTACTGCATCCTATAAATATTGCAGCCACATGTGCATGAACCACCCTTATCTGCTTATGTCTCTGATGATGGATTCGAGCAGGAATCCGAAACGTCAGGCTAATAAAGCTCTTGTCCCGGCGATCGTGTCTCCTTCTTCAAGCGTATGCTTCCATTTTCCCAAGTATGTATAAGACGTCGTGATAACTGCTACTGCTGGTGTCAGACATACGACACTAGCAGGACGCAATAAACTATTTTAGTCACCACAATACGCAAGAAGGTTGTCCTTGCACTTGTTAATGGACTAGGGGTCAGACAACAGTGACTCCAACAGTTCGTAGCCCCTGCGGTTGTCACATATTGCGGTGGTTCCGGTTTATTCGAACTTGTAATCTACAATGGAGGGAAAAGCAACTAGTCGACTTTCTGGTTGCCTAAAGGACGAGGTGTTCAAGAAAGCCACAAACAAGGCGCAGGCAGTGACCTTCGACAGCAACTACTTAATCAAAAACAAATGCAATTGCCTATGGGCGCTAGATCGGCGTGCTGAAAGGCAATATGGGGAACTTGAAGACAGAATCGCCGAATTACAATGTCTTCGACGTATGAGCGGAGCAAATGACTGCCCGCGCAACTTTGTCAACACGTGAATGCGCAAGCAAGACAAGAGATCGAATTGCACAGACCCCGAGTTTTTAGTAGAGGATTTCGCATGCTAAGAATGTCTCGAAACCTCTGTAGCCTGATGGCAGTTGTCTCTGCTCTTGCTGGTAAGCGCTGACTCAGTCGCTAAGGGTAGTTAGGTGGGATCTTGTAAATCACACGGTAGGCTTCGTTGGGATCCACACGGTGCCCTGAATTAACCATTTGTGCGAGGATGGAGCTGTGTGTGCTCCTAACTTCACCCTTCGTCAGCTATGCCGGCAGGTGTTCTCGTATTCTTGCGGATAGGCGCCGACTCGTACGACCAATGTAGCCTGCTCCACAGAAGCAAGTAAATGCACATGGAGGTGGTCTGAGCTGGTAGCCTATCCATACCTTTCTCGCTTAAGACGGGGTTGGTCGAAAACAATGCTTGAACTCTTGCTGCCGGGAAGGTCCGTGAAACGGCTTGGTTAAGGCGCCTTCTCAGGAGCTCAATCGTCACGTCCCCTTGAAAAGGGACTTTCAGAAACAGAGTTTTCTTTTCTGCGGTCGGTATGATGAGTTTTAACGGTCGTTCGGCATGATTCTTCAAAGCAAATCTGTCAGAATACCCGTTCTCGCGAAGCAGGTCCTGGATTCTTGTACGTTCATCATCAACGCTATCTGCCGAACAGATTTATTTAGCCCTTTGTGCCAAACAGCGAATCAGATTACGTTTCTGTTGAAGGGCTACGAAACTGTAGAAGTTCGTATATTGTCCAGAACAGATGTCCTTTCGATGGATGCTTCTTCGGATGCTACATGTTAGCCTCCTTCTCACACCCCTTGAAGTTTAATTCGCACACGGCCCAAAGACAATCATCAGGCGCTAAGTGGTGAGGCGAAAGACCGATTGCCACAGACCGATGTCATATTCCAGACCTAGTGGCAGTCCAGCCGTCAGTTTTGGCGATGTCCGCCCGATCTGGTGCAGCTGTGGACAAAGCAATTACACCGAAGATACCGGGAGATTACTTTGAACGCGGATGGCCGAACATGCCGCTGCGGCGATGAAGACGGACATCAGTTCCTACGTTAGGGCTCATTCGACAGAACCCGTCATAAATGCAATTTCGACGAGGCTAATATTCTTGAAAATAAGATAAGGGCATAAACCACGAACCGTTAGATTCCACAGTACATCAACACTGGTCTTCCTCTACACTCTGTATTAAGATTTTGCTTTGGGGTGTCTAGTAATTACCAAGCCAGCAGGTAAACCGAAAACGAACATGCGGCAATGTACGACTGAGACGCAGGCGATCGAGTTATCATCTAACCAAGTACGATCGTCGGCGATTTATGTGATAGCCGCTAATTCGGAAATTCACGCGATGGCACAATAGTTGCGTCCTAGTAATACAGCACGCTTTGGGCATACACTGCTATCTCCAATTAGGGGTTCAAGTGCGAATCTGAAAATTCAGGCCAATAAAGTTCCCGTTCATGTGATCGAAATACCGTCTGCTTAACAGACTCCCAGAGATCGTATTTGCATCGATGTTACCCGAGACAGGCATACCGCAGACTTTGTTCGAATGCGTGTTAAATTGACAACGGTCTGGACTAGTCAGCTTGTCCAGCCTCTCGCTGCGTCTTGCTGCATATATACCATTTTAAATGTTAATTTCATTAACCTTTCTAAGAAAGTACCCGGTGAAATTCGAAGAAATTCCTGAGCACAAACACCCTTGGCGCGGAACAATCAAGTTTCGTCCATAGGCAGTTCATGGGGCATTACTATTTAATTCACTCTCATATTCGAACTCGTCTGCCAGCCAAAATTCAACACATGCTTTACAGATTTTGTACATCTCCACGGTACAAACGAAAGCTTATGGTCTTACATGAGTAGTCATATGTGTCTTCTGTTTTACACACGTATCTTAATGTTAATCTGTTTATATGGAATATATGCGTTAATTCAGAGAACATGATTCGGAGGACATAGCCTGAAGTTCCTTCCGAAATTCGCAAGAATATTTTAGCAGCAATTTATCAGGCACACTGGAATAATCACGAAATTTTACTGCTTTGCACATTATTGTTTGAATGCCTATAATGCCTATATAATGCCTACATGGGAATCCCGGCAGGATTACAACCTTTGTTCCAAGGTACGTCATAAGCTAACTTTTGTTTATGTATAATGCAGTTCGAGGTAATCGGCTCAGCAATTCAGCCCCAGTGTTCACCATGCTCTGTGTAGTATATACTGCAGGAACATCGACTTTGCGCAGTTGAATGAATCAACTGCGAAGCCTTTGGCCAACCAGCTTGCCCCCAGTGTCTCTCGCATGCATGCTGTTTAAGTTCCTGAGGAATGTATGTGAATTCGGAGCATATGCTGTTTCACGAAATTCATCGAATGCGATCAGAAAGTTGATATGAATATTTGGGAGAAAATTCATCGCCGTAGCCTTGTCTGTGGGAAAATGTTATCGATTTGGGACTCAAGGATGATATGCAACCCTGGCAGATTCTTAACGTAGCTGCACCCCTGAAGGGGTGTGGTTACTCAATTGGTATTGATATACTATTGACTATCAGTTAAGAGATTGTTGAGTTCGTGAATTTATTTAGTGTCGATGACGAGTTTTGGCTAAGTCATTCTTGTTAGATGTCAGACCGAATGTGAATATATACGGAGTTTACACAACACTGTCATGAATTACCCTGCGATAAATTAAATTTAGATTCAGATTGCAAACTAATTTATATGACATCACGCACATATGAACATTTCGGACGCAATTGCTACCAAAAGATTATACGGCTGCGCCATGCGGCAGCATAAAATAGACGGAATACGTGTCTGGTCTCCAAGGCCTATCCTGGATGGAACTGTGGTAAATCACCTACGACTGCAGCGAAGGCTAATCACTTGCAAAATAGGATAAATATGAATTTCTCAGGCTGACTTTGACGCATTTTGCTCATATACTTACTTCTACTATTAGACCGACTATGGAAGTATTTACGACCAGCAATTTCCTCCTTGTTCGCACACTGCCTTTTGGGAAATGTACGACTGCTTAATAGTTAAAACTGGATTGTATTCCAGAAGGCGCACGCTGAATATTTGGGGGAGGCATAGATAAGCTGAGCCTCTTGAAGGTGGGCCATCAAGGGCACAGAATCTTCGAAGCACCTACCGATACGGGCTTGTAGTTGGGGCAGGCATTTGGAGTATAGCAAATGTGTACACACTGCTAACTGCCTTTTGACGGAATGTGAATAGTTCGAGTTTAATAGCGTAAAGATGATGCAATTCATCCTTAATATTTGTGCAAACTTCCAAAAATAAGTTGAGAATGCATGTGTTGAAGTATATGCCTTATGACTAGACATTACTTCTTAGGGATATTTATATAGCCTCATTGGAAAGGGAGTGCTCTCCAGAAAAA